TTTTAAAGCCTCCAGGAATTCTCATATATATGTCTGTATCGAGTGAACCATATAAATATGCGGTCACTACATCCATTAGCCGCATTTGCAGCCTTTCAAAAACAGACATGCCAATTAAAAATCGTAAAGTAGTAGCATCAATTACTGGAGAATACGTCTCATCATAATCGATTCCTGGCATTTGAGAAAAACCTTGGGCAACAAGTCGGGCTTTATATCTAACGATTTCATTTTTCTCATTGCGTTTACGCACAAACACCCATTTAAAACCTACAGGTTTTACGCCTTTTGGCGTGTGGACAATTGGTCCAAAAACATTACGCTTTTCTAGCGATTTTAGTTCTACCTGAATCGCTTCATTCCATTTTGGCCAATCGTTTCTACGACGACATTCGTCAATAGATTTAGGCTCATTGGCATCGTGTTCATTCATTATATCTGTGGCGATGGCATTTGAAAATATATCATTAACATCAATATCTTTTCTATTCCATTGTATTCCATTAGAAACGTAATTGATTGAAATTTCGAAATTATCGACGTTTCTATCTTTATCTAGAATATTTACCTCTTCAAAGGTGATTGGATCCTCTTTTGAGGTATCATTATTATTGATGTTATCTTCAAAGCCGATATTTTCAAAATGTTCATTTTCTTCTTGAGAAGTTTGAACTTCTTTGACATCACAAACTACGTCTTGCTTTTTAAATTTTCTTGGTTTCAAATCTTTTGAACCAAATGGTCTACCACGTTTTTTACGTATCATAGATTCATTAGCAAGAGTTCTTTCGCTAATCTCCGCAGGAATTTCTATTCGAGAAGGAGTATTCATAGCTGGAATATGTGACTTTGTCACTTTCTTTAAGTCTGTGAAAGCATCAGGCAATTGGTTTGCAACACTTTGTAAATGAATGATCTTTTGAATTTCTTGTTCACAAGCATTTGTGCGAGAATCAAGAAAAGATAAATCTGTTGCATTCCAAGTAATATCTTTCGTACGTGGGTCCATTTCTTTATTATCTCCTCCTAAGGCTGGGAACACTGTTTCATCAAAATGACAGTCATCGAACCGTGCGGTGAGTAAGTCACCAGTCATAGGTTCTAGATAATTAATAATTGAGGGAGATTTAAAACCAACATAAATTCCCAGCCTTCTTTGAGGACCCATTTTAGTACGATAAGGTGGAGCAATTGGTACATACATAGAACAAAAAAATATTTTTGTGTGATATATTTGGTTCTTTACCAGATATTAATTGCAATGGAGAAAATTTATGATATGCAATTGGCCTGAGCCGAATTAAATTTGTAGCATGCATTACAGTATATCCCCATGCAGATGCTGGTAATCTGGATTTCATCAATAATGGTCTAGCAATTAATTGTAATCGCTTAATTAAAGATTCAGCAAGACCATTTTGTGTATGCACATGTGGAACTGGATGTTCCACATCAATCCCAATTGACATGCAATAGTCATTAAATGATTGGGATGTAAATTCCCCTGCATTATCAAGTCGGATTTTCTTTATTGAATAATCCGGAAATTGTGATCTCAAACGAATAATTTGAGCAAGGAGATTTGCAAATGCAAAATTTCTAGTCGATAAAAGACTGACGTGTGACCAACGTGTTGATGCATCAATGAGCACCATAAAGTATTGAAAGGGTCCACACGGAGGGGCAATTGGCCCACAAATATCTCCTTGAATTCTTTCTAAAAATGCAGGAGATTCAACTCCAATTTTGTATAAAGATGGCCTGATAATTAATTTGCCAAGAGAACAGGCAGTGCATGAGAAATCACTTGATTGTGGAATTTTGACATTATTTAATGAATGTCCAAGTGAATTTTGAATAATTTTGTGCATCATAGTGCTGCTTGGATGACCTAAACGCTCATGCCACAAGATAAAGGAATTGTGGTCATTAATTTTAGATACCACATTTATCTCAATTGGACTGATATATGTATAATATAGTCCGGAGGAATATGCTGACATTTTTTCTGAAATGTATTTATTGCCAGATCTATTTGTCGTTAGACATAAATATTTCTTTTGATTTTCAGACATGGTTTCAATGTGAAAACCATTTAGACGCATATCTTTGAAACTCAAAAGATTTCTTCGTGATTTACTGGAGTATAAAGCGTCTTTAATCATTAATTTTGTCCCTTTTGGGAGAATTACACAAGCTATTTCAGAACCTTCAATGAGTTTAGCAACACCTGAGATTGTATTATCATTAGCATCAACTAATGTCATATGAGAAAAATAATCTCTATGTCTCAAAATGGTGTGCGTTGTGGCAATGTCTATTAAACATTGTTCAAAGCCATTTTGAGAAATTTCAGTTAACTCCATATCTTTAAAAAGATAAAAATGAACAAATATTAGTTCAATATTGCAATATAAACAAGAATTTATTCATTAAAATGTATATAATTTTTACAACCGAAACAAGCACACCAAATAAAAATTACAATACAACAAACTTTTATTGTAGAATATATTACATAACAGAATAATTTCATTTTTATTATTATTATTTTTCACCCATGACGATGTTAGTGTTCATCTCATTATTATCCATATAGAAATCAGACATATTAAATGTGGGCATTGGTGGAACGTTTTCGTTGACGTAATTAGTTTCCACATTCTTTCCTTTTAGAGATGATTTATATAAGTCAACCAAATGTGTAGGTGTGCGACACTTATTTGCCCAATGTCCCGATGTGTCACATTTAAAACAAGTGACTTTAGCCTTTTCTGAAAATTTCATCGGGCCTCTTGTTTGATGAGAGTTTTGCTTTCCGTTGCCTTTGTAAGAGCCACTACTCTGTTTGTTTCCCCGGCTAGGTCCATTATAATGACCAATACCACGACCACGTTTGAAATGTCCACGAGCACCACTATGGGTTGCATTTGATTCATGTTTTGAACCATGATTTTGTGGACCAAAACTAAAAGGGCTACAACCCGTGGGTCTCATATTGTGGTTTCTCATCAAAATGTCATTATTCGTCTCAGCAAGTAGTAATACTGATATTAAATCAGAATACTTTTGAAAGTGCTTTTGTCTATATTGTTCTTGTAAAAGCATATTTGAAAGATGCATAGTGGACAGAGTTTTTTCCAACATTTCAGCATCAATGACTTTTTGTCCGCATAACTTCAGTTTTGATGTTATTTGGAACAAGGCAGATTTGTAGTCACTTATAGATTTGTAATCCTGGAATCGTAAATTGATCCAGTCATATTGAGCTTTTGGTAAAAGGACCTTTTGTTGATGGTCATACCTTTCTTGGAGATTATCCCATAATTCTTTAGGATCATCTACCAATAAATACTCAGACTTCAAACTTTCGTGAAGATGGTGACGAAGAAAGATAATGGTTTTTGCCTTATTTTGGGGAGTGGCTGAATTATTTTCGGCAATTGTGTTTTCGAGGGCATTTGCTTTTAAATGTGCCAAAGCGTCAACTTTCCATTACAAGTACTTTTGACCAGATAAATCAAGGACGTCGAACTCTCTTTTGCTAATATTAGCCATGGATGAACTACACCATAATTAATTTAAAATTAATCAGTTAATGATTTGTATAAATAATACGACTAGATATACAGAATATGTTTATTAATAAACACTATTAATAACACTATTTATGTTTATGTTATTGTACAATAACAATAATTATATGCATCACTTTTATTACGTAGTTCATACGAGTAGATGTAGTAATATATACTCGTATGTGCATATAAAATTTTTAGGTGTTTCATGACTTCTTATGTATTAAATGCATGTGTACATATCTCAATTGTTCACTTGCCCACTTGGTACGTAGGAGCTTTTATATATTGATATAATATACTGAAGTTTTCAAAATTAAATGCATGCATCATTGAATAATGCCAAATTGATGTGCAGGAGACCAGCTAGTACCCTTGCCGCATTTATTATCAGATGTCATTCAATTTTGTTGGTTTATGAATTTGAATGAATCAAGATAATTCATACCGATATGTTTGAGAATTTGGATCATACGTTAGATTCCCGTGAGTATTACTTCTCCTCCGTAAAAGCTTTACGAGTTTTACACTTTTCATGATATAAGGATATGAAAAATCAAGAAGCACCAGTGAGATAGTTTATCTACAATATAGAGTTTTTTTTATTCATACGTATTCCATAGGTCTTTAATATCTAGACTATTTGTCTTCAATCCCGGTGATATATCTTTCTTATGTATATACATATATCATGTAGAGAGTTTTATTTTAAGAGTTCAAGCTCTATTCGACTCTCTACCTTTGGCCAGGCTTTGGGTATTCACATACATGCAAGTAAGATATACTCTGTACGTAATATTATCTATAATATGGAGTAATTCAACTCAACTTTCAAGAATAGATTCTGTTTCTATATATAAAGGTATGTCTTTCTTCTATCTTTTTCAATTTTTAGAGAAAATATAGCTATAATTTTCTGATATGGAGAATCTCAATGGTTGGGTAACCATAGAGCATACTTCTTATAGTTTTGAATATATTTATGCATGTTTATATTTCTCAACCTCTCTTTTTTTTTCCAGATAAATTTATAAATTCTTGAAAAATATATACATGCTGGGAAGATGATTTCAGGGATTTGGAGCAAATTTGTGCTGATAACGTGTTATAATATGGAAGGAAATGAGCAGAAGACCAGGGAGAGAAAATATAATAGAACACTTATGTTATTGAGAGTGTGATAATGGTGTAATCAAGATATGTTAATTACAATGGAGAAGTCTCCTATTTATAGGGGAAAAGCTAAGCTTATTAGGATTAGAGAATAATTGTGAACTACACAATTATCATCTAGAATCATAATTATGATTTCCTAATTATTTATAAAAAGGCGATAATAATTCCTAATCATGAATAGTTGAAAGATGAACTAATTCAATTATATTTCAACATGAAAATGAAAAAAGAAATATAAATTGAACAGTGGAGGAGTGCGGAGTAGATAGCAGTTTAGTACAGGTCTTAATTCTCTCTACATGCTTCCCCTTCGGCTCTGGGAAACTCCAAAATTGGAAAAGTATTTGTCAACGTTCTCAAAACAACGTTCTTTGAAGTTCATCCATATCAATTTGTCAGGTATTTCTCTATTTCAAGTACATCTTCTGTCTTACCTGATTCAACCTACCTTATCAAATGTTCTCAAAACATAAATTATGCCTGGCTTCACTTATCGAGGTATGAAACACTTTTCAGTTCTTAGACGGTCAAAATTCGAAATCTGAAACACTACTCTACAGATCTTCTATTAACTTTATTTTTTTGAGTTGTGAATGAAACAGCACTCTACAGTTTTTTTCTAAGATAAGTTTTTGCTGTTAGTGTTCAAGTAAGAGTTTTTTTGTTTAAAAATATGTAGAGTATCTGCTACATTAAGTTCTAATACTACCTATTATTATTATCTTTTTAATTTCTAATACTACCTATTATTATTATTATTATTATTATTATTATTATTTTGAGTTGTCCAAGTGGTCCACTTCCCCTGGTATTATACCCTTGGTCTTGAGTTCTAGCCATGAATCTGAGAGGTTTTTTCTCAAATAATGATACTCTAAACTCCTGGGCTAGCTCAAGTGGTTGCCCAATCAACTCTCACTTCAAGTGGCATATTGAGAGTTAGCTTCATGCTGTTTGACTTCTTGGGGACTTGAGGATATGTGCAATCAATAATTTAAGAGTAACTTCTTGTGCATGATTTGGTGTATAAATGGCGGGATCTGGAGGCTTTGCGTTGTGCCAAAGCAAATGCTGCCTTTCTCCCCATGTCATCATTTTTAGATAGGACTTTTACATGCTTATGTCCCCTCAATTTGTCCTACCCATGTACTTTGGCCCCATCATCAACCAAAGACCGTCAGATCTGAAATTGGATGATTTCTCGCAAGACAAGTGATGTTAAATGGCTGCCATGGGGAATAGTTGTGGCAGAAATATAGCAGACGACTAAGTAAAATTTCTTAAGAATGGAGGTTTATGCCCGGGGCACCAATGCACCATATGGCGGAGTTTTGGCTCTCAGCCATCCTCCATTAATAAAACTGTGCAAGACACTATATTTTGCTTTTTGTTTAATGCAGAAGATCTCAATCTGCTTTTACCCCGAACATCCTGAATTCGTGTTCAGCTTAATTCTATAATGCTGATCTACGGTTTTGAGCTCGATACTAGGCGAGCTCAAAACATGAGGTTTGGGTTCACCTCGCCATTTAGTTCAATTACTTCAATACTAGTGGTAGATAAGCTTGATGTATATGGTCGAATTTAGGAGCTTAACTTATGCTGTTTTAATTGGATCATGCTCGAGTTATTTGATAATTGATCGTTTCGTTAATAATCAAATCTTAAGTTAGAAATACATACTGAATCTTTTAAAATTTCAAGACACACATATCCTCATGGATGGGTAAAGTTTGGCTATTATCTTTGAATTGCAGACACTTTGCTCATTATCACTAGCTAAGTTTGGTTTTAAGACATGTTTGCTGCTGCTGCTACTACTAAGCTGTTTAAGAAACTGTTCACTTGGACTTATTTAGTCAAATATCAAACCAGATCAGACTTAAACAAACTAGATTAGTCTAGTATAGTCCACACCAGAGTTGAATAGTAATAAACTATACATACTCTAGGCCATGTCACACTTAAACATATTGGACCAAACTTATAACTAAACTAGAAAAGTAGATTTTATCCAAATAAGTAGTTCCTAAATTGGGGCGAGTTTTGGAAAAAACTGCACTACGTGTCTCCTATCCTTAACATCATATTTGATAGGGGGATTTGTGATTGATTTCCCCTAAAATTTATATAGGGTGTAATATTTGGTGTTTAGTTTGCTGAATTTCTCCCCCTATGGGATTACCATTTTTCTCTTGCATTGGTAAACCAAATAGTAGAATTTGATTTCTGATTCATTTCATTCCGTGTGGTTGGGTTGTCAGCTCAAGTCCTAACATCGTAGAGGGAAGGAAGAATTCCTCTGAAAATAAATCTGCACCTAATTCTTTTTCTATGAATTGTGTAGTTTATTACTACTTCCATCCCACTATTATTGTCACATTGCGGTTTATGATGATTGACCGACAATAAAGCAAATGGGTCCCTGTCCGCACTCAAATTATTTAAAAAAAAATATTGAGAAACTACATTAAAAACTTTACAAAGTCGCAAAAACCAGAATCAAATTTGATAAAAATTTGATATATAAAGTAAGAGATTAAGAGTGATTTGTGTTGACCATGTGAATAGGAACTGGAACAATCTTAGTGGGACGGAGGGAGTATATACTAATGCCAGAGTTATGGTGCGTTTGCAGTCATAACACTTGTACATTTTAATCATTTTGAATATAATTTTAAAAATCCCTCTTCAAACATATTTCATTATTTCCCCATAAATTATATTCGTCCTTATCCTAAACAAATCGCCCATAAAGGGTTGAATACAATTATTAGCATATCAGTTATATTTATTCTCTCAACTTTTCTTGTGTCTACATCTCACTCCTTTTTTATGTTTTTTATATCTTGGTTCTGAACTTGAATGTGTGTGTGTGTGTGTTCCCAGACGACCCAAAATAGTTCGTGGTCATCATAATGGGTTCTCCTCAGTCCGGGGGAGTTTCTGAAAAAGAGAACTACATTGGTGTTCTAAATGTCCACGTACACCAGGCCAGAGACATCACAAACATCTGTATATACCACAATCAAGACGTTTTTGCCAAGCTTTGCCTCACTAGTGATCCCGAAAACACATTGGCAACACAAATAATAAATGGTGGTGGGAAAAACCCGGTTTTTGACCAGACTCTCAGCCTGAATGTACGAACTGTCAAATGTTCCCTGAAATGTGAGGTTTGGATGATGAGCAGAGCGAAGAATTACTTGGAAGACCAATTGCTTGGTTTTGCTTTAGTACCTCTGTCTGATGTCATCGGTGGGAATAGGAAACTAGAGAAGGAGTTCTCTCTCTCCTCAACAGATCTCTTCCATTCACCAGCTGGATTTGTTCAGCTGTCTCTCTCATACTCAGGATCTTCACCAGAGGTAATGATCACCCCCTCAATGCAAAAATCGGTGTATGATGCCGAAATGGTTGAGTCACTCTCTTGTGAGTTTGAAAAGATCGAGTTTCCTGATCCTAAGATCGTGAGTGAGAATCATCTGATGGTTTCTGAGTACTTCAGCATCCAGAGCTCAGATTGTTTGGATGCTACCTCTGACTCTGAAAATGGCTCCTCGTTTGGTCCACATCCCGCTTGTGTTCAGTCTCTTGCAATTCAAGAAGATTCTGAGTCTACAACCAAAGAGTCCTGTCCACCTCCTCAAGCATTCCCCAAGGAGAAAAATCCAGGGTATGTTGAAACTCAGAAAATGCTAGGGGAAAAGGAAAAAGATGCTAAATAAACAAACTTTCTTATGTTTGTTTTACGATCTGGATTTTCATGACTTGATAAGAGTAGGTTAAGGTCACCTGTCTTAAGTTGCTGTTTGATATTTCACCCAATGTATACTTTTCAACATTTGGTAAATGAAATTGGAATCAATTTTTTTTTGTTTTTATTTAAAAAACAGCATATATTTATATCTCTTAGTTGTTATATAATGGAAATGATATTAAGGTTTAATTTCTTTTATTGAATCCCCCCACCATCACAATTTCTTTCCTTCTAATTGTTTCCCCTTTTTGTTTTCTTGCTGTAGTACTTCCCGCATACCAAATGGACCCCTTCATGCTGGAGATGGGGGAAAAGATACTCCTGGAAGTGAATTCCCTAAGCCGGTCGTCTCTAGTGAGGTCGGACCCCTCAATTCTGGAGATAGTACTCCCCCGAGAAGTGAATCCCCTAAGCCTGCAATCACCATAGAGACTGTGACAGAACAGGAGGTGGTGCAACAGGACATTGTGGATATGTACATGAAAAGCATGCAGCAGTTTACAGAATCATTAGCAAAGATGGCTCTCCCATTGGATGTTGATAGCAGTTCCGGGAATTCAAATTCAGATCATAAATCCCAAACAACACCTAAGAGCATTTCCTCTCGAGTGTTTTATGGTAGTAGAGCTTTCTTCTGACCATTCTTGCATCAACCGCTCACTGTTTTTTTAAGTAACATAACTAATGATGAATAAGTACTTGCATGTAAGACCTTAGAGTTACTTGCAGAATTGCAGTTGCCTGTGTTTTTCTCACATCTTTACAGACACTACTTATTTCCTATTGAGGTGCTATAGGACCTGCTGAATGGGTTTGTTCATAGTCAGTCTCTTCAAATAAGCGACATACCTTTAGGGGTTGATGTAGCCACTTTGGTTTAACCTTAATCTCAGGGTGGTGCAGCTTCTAGAGGGCTGCACTTCACATCTCTTAAGAGCTCTTTTGGATCAAATTCGATCCAGAGATGGACCTATTTCTCTTTCAGGTCTCTTAAATGGTACTACTCCCTCCGTCCTGCCTTAAAGTTTTCACTTTCTTTCTTTGGACCTTCTAAAGTTCTAACTGAAGGTTCACATTTCGATTTCAGGAAATAATTGTTGGGTGTGTTTCGAAAAAACGAAGAAATATTAATCAATAAAAATTAATTAATAAATAAAATAGCCCAAGAAAAACAGAAAATGAGATGGAAAAGAGTTTAGCCAGAGCTTCTGCTACGCACGATGTCCTTAAAATGTATTCGTCGCCTCCTACGGTGTTAGGAGCGTTGCAACGACTGTTTCTCAGGATATGGTGGCTAACGAACTAACGTTTGAGCACACAAACGAGAGTTTCGACGAACGGGAACAAAGTAGAACACTCAGGAATTTTTTCAGAGTAGCTGGAAGTGTTTTAGAGCTCAAAATACGTGCAGATAGTGTATGATTGCATGTGATGTTGCAAATCACCTGCCAGCTATTTATAGGAGGATTTGTTGTGGGTTAAATGGGATGTTAATGGACCTGAACGTTGGACATCAATGACCAGTTCGTTGGGCATTGAGTCGTCCATTTAACGCTGCATTAAGAGACAAGAACGTTGGGCATTTAATGGCTGTAATGGCTTGGAGCAGTTCTGGTGCGCGACCAGAATACGCCCCATCACAGTTGGATCAACTCTGATGCTACCAGAATACCTCCACCAGAGTTGGAAAATCTCTGGTACAAAGCCACCAGAGTTACGGGAAGAAACAAAATTAAACCGTATCTTTGAATGATAGATTCTCGGACGACATTCGTGTCCGCAGGTCGCCCGCGCACATGAGTCGCGGTTTTTCTTCTCCATTTCGGGATTTGATCGGCACCCCCCCTACGCGTAAGAGAGTCTTTACCTCTAGGAATCTTAACTCCTTAAAAGAGACTTCCCTTTTTAAGTGGGTGAAAATCCATTGAGTTTTCCGGTGTGGTATAAAACACACTAGAAACCCATCATTTTCCCAATTTTTCTATTTCAACGAGTGAACTTCGAGAATCAATTTCTCATTCACCCGTTATCCGTTTTGAGCGTACGATATATCGAATTGTAGCCCTTAACAAGGACAATCCGAAACCACTTTGACCCGACCCAAATCAGAAGTGGACCCCACTCAAATAATTGCCCCAAAATAATAATTTAATGCAATTTTTAACACATTTTCCCAACAATAATTAGCATTCTTTAATGACAATTTAATCATCAAATATTAAAAATATTACATCTATAACATCACATTTATCATCAATGACCCATTATAGCATAAACCCTTAAAAACTATTTCTCAAAATATATCTGAATTACCTTATTTAATTATTGTCAAAATAACTGTGTAATTTTGCAATAAGAACTTTAAGTTGGGACAGAGGTAGGCATGGAGCAGGGTAGGTCCGGTTCTAGGCCCGGCCAGTCCCGGTTCTAAATAGTTGAAGCTCGACACCAACCCAGTTTGGTCCGGTACTGGTATCTGTCCAGGTACTGGGGCGGGTCATGGGCCGGGTCATGGGTCACCCCACCCTTTATTTAATTTTTTTTTTAAAATGTGTCCGTTGGGACCAGAGTCGGGCTCGAGACTTGTCAGTTCAGTCCCAAAAGTTAGAGCCCGTGCTCGTCCCGCTTTCAGTTTTGTCCCAAAAATTAGAGCCCGAGCTCGTCTCGCTTTCAGTTCGGTCTAGGTATCAGGTTAGTATCGGCACCGGAAAACCGATCTCGAGCCGGTATTGGCACCGTAAAGCCGGTCTCGAGCCGATACTGGCACCGGAAAGCCGGTCTCGAGCCGGTACTGGCACCGGAAAGTCAGTCCCATGTCAGTCCGAACAGTACCGGTCCCGAGTCTGGCTGTCCGGACCTAGTCCATCCCAAGACAGAGGTAATATAATCCGTAGGGACCGCTCAACTCGGTTCTTTATATGGTCTACCCTTGTAAGGGGTGGACATAGTTTGAGAGCTATATGGTATTTTACCCGGAATCGGAAAGATGGAACTGGAAATGAGAATCAAACAAAACTGACACTAAATATGTACTCGTATAGATTCCAGACATGTGGGGACTGGAAGTTGAGGTCAGGCACTAAATAAGTACAGGTACATGTTCCTGTCATATGGAACTGGAGGTTGGGGGTAGGCATACTTGTCACGACGTCGCCTAGGCGTCACCTAGTCATCGACTAGGCGTCCTGGTGCTAGGGACGACTTGTCAAGATACCTCGCCTTGCCGAAAGAAGAGAAAGTGCACTTGGCGTCGTCCAGACATCGTCCAGGCGTGATGTTGGCAACAAGTCGTCGTCTTTTTTACCACTTGAATAGCTGCAATCCCAGAATAGATTTAGGCTTTAGTTTTAGGAAAGAAAGAATGACATAGATATTACTACCCAATTTTCATTGGACAAAAATATGACCCTTTTAATGAGGACAAAAAGTGACATCATTAAACACAACCCACCCAATTTCCGACGCTCCCTTTTACTCCATCGCAACAATTCTACGGATCTACCCATCTTCTTCCCTCTCCAAGCCATCTTCATCTCTTGCTCCAAGCCATCCAACCTCTAGCCAAGGCACAACACCTCTGCTACCACAACCACAACAACCATTTCACCATTGCAACAACACACTTTCAAAGGATTCTTCTCCTTCTCTCGCTGAATCAAGGCTAGCGGCGAGCTTGTGCACAATGGGTGGGTCGAGCTTCTAATTTGGCAGCAACAACGATGAGATTTGTTGTTCCGCTGAGAAGCTTCGTCTTCCATTTGCGAGATTCATCGATCTGACTGGAGAAAATCCCGTGGTCAACGACGAACTTAGTGGCTGTGACAAATCCACCGCAGATCTGGAATTTTTGACTAAGGGAGACTGGGGTTAGAGCAATTGGGATGGGGACTGGCCGCTGGGAATGAGGACTGGCTCGGAAGGTGAGAAGGACCTAGAAAGGGGTTGTTGTTGGCAACGAGGTGCCGGATAATTAGTCGGAAAACTTTCTGCCAGTCAGATTGATGATATGGTGGATGCAGCCATAGTGACTTCCGGCGGGTGACATCACTGGAAAATCGGGCGTCACTGGGATGTGGCGGCGTCACTGTTGCAGCGTCACTGTGGCGACATCACTGTTGTGTCACTTTGGACGTATTCACTATGACCAGCGACGGCCTCCGGGCGGCGGCGGTCACTGGTGGGAGATGGTGGGATGTTGTGGTGGATGTCACTGTGTATCATGGCGCTGTAGCATTTCACTGTAGCAGTTACTAAATAAGTAGGCTTGCTTGTTAGTTATTAGTCACATTTTTTGAATTTTTTTTAAAAGGTCATTTTTTTGCGAATTGTCCCTTTATTAGTAACATTGAGGTCAAAACCCCCCTCTCTGTCCTATCCCTCCAGAACCTCCGTCTGGCCGCCGCCGTTTGGGACAAATCTCAAATTTTTTGATGAAATTTTTTGAACATGTTCTTCATTAAGGGGGTGTTTGGATCTGATTCTTAAAACTGCTTCCGCTCCTTTAGGGAGCAAAAGTAGAAGTTGGAGTGTTTGAGTGAAAATGCACAAGTATTCTGGTGCTCTAATTTACTCATAGAATCGGTTTTTTAGAAGCTGGGGGGGGTACCAGCTTCTGAAAACTGATTCTGATTCTGCTTCTGCTTTAAAAAAGAAGCAGAAGCAAAATCAGTTCCAAACACCCCCTAAGTCTAGTTTATGTCCACCACATTTCAGCTAAAAATTTAATCAGGGAGACACCATCCTTGCCAACATCTCCGCTAGATCTCTCCACATTTCGATCGGGTGAGGCACCGACGCTAGAGTCGTCCGAACCCGAGGAAATGGTCCCAAAGGCGGAGACGACGAGACGCTCTTCCTCTTGAGATGTCGATTAGACTTTGTACTTGACATTACTAGGTTTTTCCTCTAAGAGCTAGTTATCGGTGAGAGCCGTTAGAGGTCGAAAGACAATATAGGAAAAAGAGAATCATGAGAAGGGAAAATATAAGATGTACTTGGGAAGAAGAAGGTAATCGGAAGACGAAAAGAACGACAATGATCGGAGATATTGTGTTGGACCTTTGACTCAAGGGAATTAACCCCAACGATTAGTATAAGTATAACATGATAAAAAAACTAAAATCGGCCCTGCCCGATCTCATTACTAGTTCCTTCTACTCCAATACAACATATGACTTATTATTTAGGAACTCTTTTTTTTTTTTGGGGGGGGGGGGGCGCCCCTGGGGGGTCAGGGAGGGGGTTGGGGGGTCCCAGGGGGAGGGAATATAAGAGCTCAAACTGCTCTCGGTGGGAATTGAACTCCTGATCTCCAGGATAACTGAGTGACTCCACAACCAACTAAGCTAGTTGCTTTGTCATTTAGGAACTCGACATATCTAATATTTGTGATCTATAAAAGTGTTTCCGACCTTATTTAGGTGTTTTACTAGTCTGAATAAGTTTATAACACCTTTTACTATAGTCATGTAAGCCGCTATATACTTCAAATTCTCATTGCACACAAAAAATAAAACATAGCTAACTCACAGGAGAAGCTTCGAGGAAACCTCCTATTAACGAAAAATAAGGAGGCCGAGATGAATATTACAATTAGCTGAGAAGGAAAAACCTTCATAATTAACTAACGAGCATAGAGAAGCTTTGAAGACAAGGAGAAAATGATCAGGGTGAACTGAGAATAAAAAATAGGGAAAAGTACGAAAAAGTACTTGTGGTTGGACCCTGGGTCATGTGTTTCATTCTTTATCAAAGTAGTTCATGTGTTTGAATTCCGTTATCACAAGAGGGCCACACCATTAAAAACGTCTAAAAAAGGTCGTTAAAAGTAACTCCGATTTTCAAAAGTGCCCGAAAAATTAAAAGAAA